AAATGTGGGGTCAAGATTGGTGGATGATTTATCAACAATCTGCATTATGCGGATGACACAACCCTGCTTGCTGAAACTGAAGAGGACCTGAAGTGTCTGCTGCAGAGTGTCAAGGACTGCAGCCTACAATATGGATTGAGGCTCAATGTAAAGAAGACAAAGATTCTCACCACTGGACCAATTGGCAACATCAGGATGGATGGTGTAGAGATTGAGAGTGTTCACAGCTTTAGTTTGCTTGGCTCCATAGTCAACAGTCTTGGCACCAGTAGCCAGGAAAGTAAAAGGTGCATTGCCGTGGGAAGGAAAGTCTGCTGTTAGGGACCTCTCCAAAGTGCTGAAGAGCAATGGTGTCTCTCTGGAGACTAAGGTGTGTCTTATACAGGCCATGGTCTTCGCAATCACTTGTTATGCATCAGAGAGTTGGACAATGACCAGGGAGGATAGACGGAGAATTGATGCCTTTGAGCTGTGGTGCTGGAGAAGAGTATTGAGAATACCATGGACTGCTAGGAAAACAAACAGATTTGTCCTGGAAAAGGTTAAACCAGGTGGCTCCTTGGAGGCAACAATTCTGAGCCTCCGTCTAACATACTTTGGACATGTTGTGAGGAGAGACCGGTCTTTAGAGAGGGACATCATACTTGGGAGGGTGGAGGGACGGTGCAGGAGAGGAAGGCCCTCTATGAGGTGGATTGATTCAGTGACTGACTTGGATAATTGGGATGGGAGTGTCGGAGACAGTGTGATTGGCACAGGACAGAGAGGAGTTTAGGACTGTTGTACATATGGTCACTATGAGTCACAGGCGACTCGACGGCACATAACAACAACAACAACAATCATCATCAAACTATTTCAATCCATTTCAAATGACGATACTCACTATTATTTGCTGTACTTCTATATGTTTAATTCTTTATTTTTTTTAAAAAACACACACATTTTATGTGGCCAAGACTACTAGCTTCTTTTCCTTCTTGTATTTTATTCAAAACTCCTAAAACCATCCTTCATACAAAAGTGGCAGAAGAAAAACTACTGACTGGATGCAGGGAATAAAATAGAGGAGAATAAATTACTTATTCAAGCAATATCTTTCTATAAAGCTATCATTGAAATTGAAATAATAGTGAATAGCTTTATTAAATGTGTAACTCCTTTATGTATGATGTTGAGGACACTAATCTTTCACAATTTATCCAAAGGAAGTATTTCTGAAGGTTGACTGTGATTCTAAGTTTGGTTTTCGTGTTTGTTTTCTTTTTTTAACTTCTAAAATTTAAATTGTGTAATGAAAGGAGGTTAAAAACTTACCATCAGACTTTAATGTTCCCCATCCTGTGACCACCACATCTGAATTGGATGGGAATATATAAGTAGCTTCTGGAAGACACGCTCTTCGTATGTTACTTGTGTATAATATTGGTGAAGACAGATGCACAACAGCAATGTCATTATTATGTTCAGGGTAGTGGTAGTTTTCATGAATTATAATGTCCTTGACACTTCGTTGCATTTGGGGATCACTTAAAAGAAGCCCAAAACTAACATTCCATTGTTTTGGGTCTTTGGCCCTAAAGAAAATATATTTATTTATTAACAGTCTTGTCCATTGGAATAATAGGAATCCAATATTTATGCTTTTTAAACAAAAATGTTTTGAATTGCCATTTTATTTATAAGCATACAAAGGTAAAACTATATATTAAAAAATAATAAAGAATAGCTTATTAAAGCTACATTTAATTATTCTTTTGTCCAGAAACAGTTTGAAGTGATTTTGAAAAATAGATACATCACCACCTGATTAAAAAAATGAAATAAAAAATGGGCAAGGATTTGGGACAAGTGAATTAATTAAAAATTTTTAAAAGAGTTGAAATCGTTTTTATAACTATTGACAAAACCCTGTAAATTAATTAAAAGCTTGGGTGAAAAAAAGTTGTTTCTTAGAGGAAAGGATTTTGAAGCTCCATCTCTCATACTTTGAGTATGTTGTCAGGTGGGAGCAGTCCTTAAAGAAGGACATCATACTTGGAAAGGTAGAGCATTAGCGCAGGAGAGGAAGACCTTGAATCATATGGATTGACACAGTGACTGTGGTAATGGGGTCTGATGTGGCAGAGACAATAAGGTTGGCTCAGAATAAGGCAAAGTTCAGAGCCATTATTCAAAAGGTCATTATGAGTTCTAGTAGACTTGACTGCACATGACAATAACTATAACAACAACATAGAAGTGTTGAAAAATAGTGATGAAGGAATATTTTTCACACATTATACTAAAGTGACACAATAAGCATATTATTTTGAAGAGAGATTAAAACATTCCTTATTTTTAAAAAAATTAAGTGCAATCAATACTCAAACTCTCACACTGTTGACCCTCTTAGCCCATTTTTGGAGACTGTACATCACACGGGTATAGTTGCCCAGCTTTTTCCTGGGAGCCTCTGGTGGATTTCAATAGCCAGAGAGATGTTGCCTTTTGGTTGGCAGTTAAACTCTGTGCAGACTGTATAACCAAAGCTCCTAGAGCACTCAATTAAAGATAATAAAAGAACCATAAAAAATGGTATTAAAACCTTAGGTATATTTTAAAAAAATTTTCTTTTTGCAATAATGTATGATTTCGAGAAATCACCATAATTTAATATAAGGCTCTAATATAGACAGGAAGATGTGGGTTAATTTAAATACAGATGACTAAATCAATGGCACATAACAACAACAATAATAAATAAATTAAAAGGCGCTATGGTGGCCCAGTGGTGAGATGTTCTGCAATCCCAAAGGCAAATTAGAATCCACCACCTGAACTTGGAGAAAGATGGACAAATCCTTCCCTGCAGTTTACTGCCTCTGAAAACCTGCTGGAGGCTTAGCTCAGTCAGTTCCAACTCAATGACACACAACAGCAAATACATGAAGGGAGCTCTGGTGGCCTAGTGATAAGGAGTAGAATTGTCCATCCAAAGGCACTGACTTGATTCAAATCTACTGGTATTCGGGGATCAACTCCCAGTGATTCAATGCCTCTAAAAACTAGCTGTGGGGTCAGCTATGAGTCAATTCTGACTTGATGATACATAAGTAGAAATAAAACACTTTTCCCAATTTGATAATTTAGTTTCTTTATAAAGTTGAAGTAAATTATTCAATCTGAATGATTCCCAGTTGACGGTTACCAAGTTACCAGGCCCTAGGAGGGACATCTGGCAATATCTGGAGCCAGTTTTTGTTGTTTCAAGTAGGGGAATATTACTGAACTGTATAGTCCTTCACAAAAAAAGAATCACTTTGTAAAAAGAATCATAATAGAAGTTGAGAAACATTGATGCAGTTTGACTACGTCTACTATTTTACTTATAATTCGTCGCATAATTTTGAGACTACTAAGCACATGTTGAACACTTGGAGGTTTGGTTAAAATGTTTGTATCTTACTTTCTCAAATTTAGAAACTCATTTCCTTTGAGTCAAAAATGGACTCATAGCTGGCCCTCCATGGGTTTTTGAACCAATAAATCCCAGGGGAGGAGATTGTCCGTCTGTCTCTCCAGGAGTTGGTGGTGGATTGAACCTCCAGAGATGTGTCACCTTTAAGTTAGTAGTCCAACTCCCTATGGACTAGGCCACCAGAGCTCTCTGTAGGGATTTAAGCAATGGGAGTTTACCTTACTTACCTTACAAAACAGTGAGCGGCAGTGACTAGCCAACTGTTACTAATCAGAGTTGCTCCACATCGGTGGACCTTGTCCTGTTGAAGGCTTGCTTGCCAGGGCCATTCCCCTTCCTCAGCATCTGTACCCCCTGCTATTTTATTGCCAGAAGGAGTTATTGTGCGTTGTCCACAACCTGGTAAGATAAAAGCTTCATTAACATTGATATTGCTTCTGCTTGATTTTTTGTTTTCTTTGTTTTCAGGGCTGTCTGGTGGCCTAAAGTGATAAGGAGCTGATCTGCAGTTCAAATCCAGCTGCTCTGCAGGAGTAAATGGGAATTGCTCTCCTGTGGGATTTACTACCTCTGAAAATCTGCTGGAGGGTCAGCTATGTTTAGGTTCTGACTCAATGTCATGCAACAACAAACAAGAACATTTTTTTAAACAAAACCAAACCCAACTTTTTTGATTTTATAATAAGTTCCTCTTAATTTGTGTTCTTATCAACCACTAACTGAAGGAAGATGTGAACGTCTTAGAGAAGTTAGAAATGACTTATTGACATGAGCTTTCTAAGAATGCAGTAAGTATAAATTGATGTGTTCCTCTCTTTTTTCCTTGAGTCACTTTCTCTACTTTCATGGCCTTTCTGTGATCTGACTCAAAAGGTAGATAAAATGAAAAAGACAAAAGAAATACATGACAAGTTGTTAAATTGTATGAGAAAATGTTACTAAGTTAAGGGAGTTAAGGTACTGTAGACCAGTGATTGCTATGATACCTTTCATAGAAAATGTGAATGAAATACTTATAGTGTGACTTGTTGCTGTTATTAAATGCTGTTGACTTGACTCCAGGTCATTCAGGCCATTTGTACAACAGATCAAAACTTTGCTCGATCCTCTGTCATCCTCACTGAGGAGTCTTACTAAACAGAAGTGTGTTCAGATGCAACAAAAAATGCTTACTACCAAGGTAAAAAAAATGACACATGAAGAGAGCCAACCATTTTCCCAAGTCACATGCTCCTTTGAGTCAGGTCTATGCTTAATGTCTATTTAAATCCCAAGAAGTTTCTGGACTCTTAGATCTTAGAAGCAAATCTTCAGTTATCACTTAATTTCACTATTTCTTTGTCTGTCTCATGACTAATCTATCTTTAATCTGATTAAAACACTGAGATTTTATCTTAACAGTTTGTGGTATATTTTACTAGAATTTGTTATTAATATTTTTGGAGATGAGAAAATGTGTAATAT